GCCTTTGGGAGTTGGGCTCTGAATCCCTAATTATTCAGGATAATCCTCAATCCCTCCCGTGGAATTGTGAATAATCAAAACGTTGCGTAGAAGTTAGTCTACTTTGAAATTTTAGACTACATCACTAGTTATAGCATTCTTAGTGCGATAGTACTACAAAAAAGAGACCCTTAAACCCTGAACTATTCCGACGAAGTGGAAATAAAGACCACAACGCGGCAAGAACCGAAATCCCCTATACGCATGGTCAAAGACGCATTTGTGTTGATGCAAACAAATCAGAGTATGAAAGTCAGGCAAAGTTGCAATCGCCGCACTCATCTTAATGTAAGTAAATAAATAGATTAAGTCATAATGTGAAAATTGGTAAGAACTTCGGCTCCAAGATGTCAAGCAGTCGCTGGCATTTCTGATGCAATGTGTAGCGAAGGAACTGATCGGAATATCATGCAAGATGGTATTAACGTTTAGTATAGCCTTACCAGCGGTGGTGAACCAAAGGGTTTTTAAGTCTCCAACGTCACTATGACTTCGTAAAGAAGTCAAGTTTTCTACAAACATAAGACGAAGTTCTCTTCCATCTGCTCAGGGAAGTTAGTGAAAGTGATAATTAATGGAAATGAGTGTATTAAACGTTCTTCTTGCTAAGATAATACTTGGGCTGAAGGAAGACTTCAGTAAATATAATCGCACAGCAATCCAGTCAATGATGTGATCAAAATATGTAAAGTAAAACTGGGACAAAACAGAATTATGCGGCAAGGAAACAACGGAAAAAATGGAAGTCCGATTGCACTCCAATTTCCTTATAGCGCTACTTGTTCTCTTTTATTGCAAAAAATTTTAGGACATGTTCCCGATGTTATTTAACAAGGAAAAAATAAATAAAAGAAACCGTCTATTCAACAATTATACAAGGATCGAATGGGTGCCTCATCAGGAATTGTGAGAAAATACTCATCTGAACCGAACAACTAGACACCACTTTCTTCCTGGGTCATAAAATCACACGGGTTTAGGTAAGAGAACGGTCTAATTTCCAGGATCTCCATTAAAATTGACAATCTTTGAAAACTAGATTGTTTGGAGACAATTACACCTAGTTCACTGTCATAATGTGCGATTTTGCTCCTAACTTCCCTTTGAAACTAAGTGAATTTACCTTTGGTTTTGCCTTATGTAGTCCTTTGTCATGTTTGGTAACATTATATGCACCATGGTCTACGCTCAGATCCAAACCTGCATGCACGTTCTACAGCGCCTCCTCCGTTTCCAGTTATACTGTGCATTTGTGCAGGATTGGGAATTTTCAATCAATCATTAAAGTTGGATTAGGTCATGTTCCTACTCCATGTAATGCATCACCGCAGGCACGACAGAACAATATTCACCTTTTGTGCGGGATGTTCGGGGGAAGGCAATTTTACCAAGCAGTTGATGGGCCCGATTGAAGTATAACTATTCTACTAACAGGCCCAATCACTGGTTGTCTCACTTCAGTGTAGTGACTGAAGATTTTTCTGCATAAAAGGTGGCTCTCTAGTCAACACATCTCCCCGAATAATTGCTTTGCTTTAATGGAGAGACCGTACAAAGTAGTGCTTATTCTTTCCCCAAGGTCACCCAGCGGTTGTATAACGATTGTTTGCCTACACCTCTAAATGACCAATGGCAAATTCGCGTTGATGGGATTAAACAATTTGAATAGGTGATGAGTAAAAACTTGAATTTTACATTCGTTTTTAGAATCTTGTTTGTACAAGTGTTGACAAAACCTTAGCAATAGCTAATAAATAGGTTAATTTTAAAATCATTATGCACAAGAAAAATAAAGAACCAATAGCCAATCATTGGGGTCGAAACTGTGGTAAGGAGGGTAGTTAGTTGCACAAGGCATCATGGTTGTTAACAATTTTGAACTTCAGGATTCTGCCTTACTTATACCACCTACACCACTGTTTTGAATTTCCTCTGCCTGCATATGATAGAGTTACCTCCCGACCTAGTCTTGTAAGGTCCGCAAAGGGATGATTGTAGTAACATGTTACCGTTAATTGCGACCTAGACTCTTTTGAATGCCATGTTAATATCGCCCCTATATGTGTCAATATGCTGCATAATTTTTGCAAAAAAGATATTTAAGATAAAATCAAAATACACTAAATGAGGGTGCTATAGACAATAGAGAACAAACTTATTAATTATTCATAATGCTATGGCACACACATTTACACCCCTTATTAAACAGATGACATACCATTAAACTTAAGGGGCATTAACGCGGCTGTCTTGTAGCTCCCATCTATGAACACATGGCGATTATGGACTGTTTGTATTCTGATCTTCAATGCTTGGAGAATATCTAAACTCTGACAATATGAAATATTGAAGAAAATGCGAAATAAGATTGCGAAAAGAATGCTTAAAACACTTTCGCAGTGCATCCATACTGTTTTAAAATGAGCAGCATTTAAGAAACACAGGTAACGCTGACTAGTTAATCTGCAAATGTGTAGGGTTATGGAGTCTGGACCACTCAAAGACAAAGCTTATGGTTTTCGTACATCCACAAAAGTGGCGCAGCTAAGTGTAGAAGCAGAGGGAATTTTGCCTTCAGTATGATGGCCAGGTTGATTTAGCACAGAGCTTGCATTTCACAAAACGGCTCAAACCATTAATAGTGCGGTAAAGGCTAATAAATTGATTCAAGATCGCAATCCTTTAAGAACACTTAATATACGAAATTATAGCACTTAAAGTAATGTGAATGACATCTATAAATGTATCTTTCTCCTCTTCGCTCATCTTCATGAACCCGAACCGGTTATAAATAAATAATGTAAAATCCACCGGATTTTCACTATTGTTATAAATTCCAGCAAAAAATGAATTTTTGCTACTAATAGAAACCAAATCTACTCATCTATAGGTAGGTGGGCTTGCTAGTTGGTCTAGTAGCCCAGGTAGGACGTTTCGAAATAAATATTTCATTTGTACGAAGGTAAATAATGTCCTAGTATGCTGGCTATTACATTTGTTTGTAAGCATCTCAAGTTGGGAAATTTTTATCACATTACACCTCGAGCTCTCTTCAGAGTGTTCACAACTTTGAGAAACAGCCAGTTCACTGTCCATGCCTCCCCCATAAGCGTCGCGTCTTGAGTGTCACACTTGTAACAGTGCCATGGCCTAAGCCTAGCCTGGTTCACCTCTTTACAAACTAATTTAGTATCCTATATTTTCGATTAAGCTATTGTGATATTGCAAAGGAAATTGGCATCAACTTGCCTTGGGGGCTTGTTAGGAGATAAATGAAATCTAAAATGGGTATCCCGGCAAAGGTGACTAAAATTGTGATGATACAATATAAAAATAAAGGAAAGGAAATTGAATTTTTGCAACTAGGTAGTTCAAATATTCACCGACGTAGATATCAGATCAAAGCAACGATGAATGCAAAAGACCCAGTCGTTTCTAAGTTTAAACACCCGATTGTGTAAAATAGGAAGATCTGTAGACTTTTTCCATTACACAAAACAGAGACTAACCCGTACCCACGACTCAGCAGGAACACAACTCCAACGAAGAGGAAAGAAGGGATGAAGTAACAATAACAATCCAAATATACCCCCTCCTTCTGATCCACTCCTTAAGGTAAGCACCACCCTTTGGCGATTGCCTTCAAGAACCGCCATAAGCGTATGAGCTATATACACTGAAGGACTTTGGCCAGCCTTCAAGCGATGTAATTACATGACAGTAGGAAATGACCTCAACAAGGAGATTTGGTCAGGTAGTCTGAGGATGGTCCTGAACAGTGGCTCCAAAATGCTCACAACAAGGTGCAAACTTTTAGTCAATTCAGCTCAAGGCAGCTCAAAGGCGAATATGAGGTACAGAATAAACGTAAGTTATTTTTATCCTAAAAACCGAAAATCAAACCCTGTATCCTATATAATTTTTTCTACGGTTTTAATGCGATTTCAGTGATCATACAATTCCAAAAATTAGCTCCTCTAAGCGAGATCCAGCCATTCGGTCACTGGCGCTCCCATCTTCCGTCGGACAGAGTGGGCTGGTGTGACAACAAGTTCGTGCCAAGTGGTAAAGAGATTCACTTGCCTTGCAGCCAACTCATTACAGCAAAATGAACTAAAGGGTGTTAAGTTTAACATCTTACTTTACGTTTACTAATATTATCAGCTTTGAATGAATATAGAAAAGCAAAAAATGGATGAGCAGTTGGGCTTTGTTAGAGTATAACATGGTAACAAACTTTCAGTTGAAAATACTACAGGATATGTTCTACATTAACGAAAATTTGGGGGAAAAGTATGGGATTCGAGAAACAGTTAATTACTGGAAGAAATTTCAGTGTAAGCTAAATGACACTTTTAAATCCACAGGAATAAAAATTATCTGATGACAAACTGCATAATAAAAAAATGATGAAATTTGTTTGGACTAGGTTACAGATGCTGTTCTAGGGCCAACCCGCCGAAACCGTCTTGCCAAAGTCGCTGCACACGCAACGGCGCCGATTTCGATGATACCAAGTACCATGACGGTGATTCCGAGAGGTAGTCTATTTTCCGTCAAGACTTTACCGGCTGCCTGGACGCATCCCTACAACGAGTGAAATGAGTGGATGAAAGTGAAAGTCCCAAGGCATGTTTAACTGGACTGAAATAAAACAAACCAGTTTAGGAGCTCGAAAACAAATCTTTCCAGACCTGCAGCAGAATTCGTATGGATCCCTCCAATCACCTGGACCATATGCACCACAGCATTTCAACTAGAGGAAAATGAGTAAAATAGCCATATTTACACTGTTCTGTATCTTTCTGATGGAATTCCGTAAGTGTGAATCGCCGATTCCGCTTTCAATTTTGTAAATGGAATTATTAAAGTATCGTTCAATAAGCTTTGAGGACTAAATGGGCATATTTGCAACCTTATGAATGCTGTTATACCTGGTTTTTCAGCGCGAAAAGCAGTGCACCACAAATGATTTCTCCAACAATTAAAAGCATCATCAGTGTTGCATACTACAAAACGTAAGACGATTAAGAAGTACCCATTTAATAAGACATCCATTCAAATTGCAAGCACCGAAGCAACCGATGAATGCGACTGTTAGCACGGCAAGACCCAGAACTAATGTAAATAAAGGCAGCCCGTAAATCGCGACTATCAATCCATTTTGGACTGCTTCAACGGTAATATAAATACCGAAACCGGTTAGGAGACCACCAGCCACCTAATGGAGCTCGACACATAATGCATAAACTCACAAATACGAAGAAATTGAAAATGACGAAAAAAAATCTAAAGCAACCGCTAGAGCGCGGCATTGCCATTGCTTCTGCAGTTGTATTGGTGCTCATAACAATGCCTCATCCCTGTTTAAATATCCACTTCACACACCTCATGCGATTACTGGAGGCCATGAATAGTCTGACCTACCGTCACCAATCAGACTGGGCTTCATGCACAATGCTATTTGTCACCGTTGTAGTGCACGTGCTATCAAAATGGATATTTAGAATTTTCCTTCTTGACCAACAACTAGGCTTACCTGAAAAAGTGAGTGCTGTTGGAAAAAGTTGCGGATTAGCCAAGCAAGGTATGGATTTCATACTTTAATAAAATTTCGTTGCATCCATCTGTAGGGGGTTAATAAAAGTTAGCACAAATGCCTTTTGAAAGACTAGGCAAATAGAAAGCATCACTACAGGGTGATATTACTTTTAGCTAATTAAAACTGCCTAAGAGGTAAATGCTCAGCAAAGAAATTTAGCTTTTAATTTATAAAAACGATATCTTGGGAAAGGAGTCAATGTCTGCGCGAATCTTCAGAATACGAAGAGGGGTTCAGTCGCGTTCAAGGATTGCAAAACAGCCCATAGTTGTAAAGAACCCACATTTTAATGACGCATCTAGGATACACGAGAAGGGTGGGGCGCATCAACCGAATCCGAGACAAGTCTTCATCTCACATAACTTTGCTACTTTTAAAAGTAGTCATAGAATTGTTTGTTTCTGATTTTATAGATGTCATTTGTACTTCTTTTCCAATAAAGGCATACTTCAAAGTGTAGTTGAAATGCACTGGATTTTTTTCTAGTTCTGGTGCCAATAATGCGTGTTTTTGTTCAGACAGTCTTCGCGATAAATTGTGACAACAAGTTCTGGGTCTTGTTAATAACTTTCAAAGTTGCATTTTGTGGGTGCTAATTAATCGTAAAACTTATTCAACAGGCGCACAAAACTGGTCAGAAGGAGTGGGTTGTGGAGCCACAAGCAGGCGCTTGGTTCAAACTCATGGCAAAACACCCAACCAATCGGTGGCATTGGCAACTGCTAATCAAATTATGGCAGGGGATTGCCATTGGCAAAGCAGCTTTTCCGCACATTGCAAAGATTTGCTTAAATCGCACTATTTAATCCTTCATCCGAATACTTGGTATTAAGTAAGCTCAATGATAGCCTAAAATGTTGTGGCTGTAGCTAAACAAGTCACCCACTTGCTGATTGATTCAAAAGCCGAAAGTATTTGTTAAAAAAGCTGTTTATTTTATCAAATTCTCTGTATTACTTTGCGTTGCCAACTGTTTAACAGGAGAAAAAGTAGGTTTACAGCAGGTCTCTTGCATCAAATGTGACCACTCTGCTGTCGAAAAGCGCTGTGAAAGGTGACAACTAAGGAGTGGGGCGCTCTCGCGTGATTATCGCGTGACATGACCTTTGCATTTGCAAACCGTGCCAGAAGTGATGAAATGTGAATAAACAATAGAAAATTACAATGTACGGAGAAGGTTTGAAGAATATTTGAAAAAGACTGAGGAATTACGTTATTAGTGGCGACGGGTGGAAAAGTGTAGGAGAGTGGGGTTCCAATATGATGAATAAAAAACGCAGTTTATTGCCTTCTTTAAAAGTGTAGATGAAGAAGTATTCTTTACACCGGCTCATTTTTATTCGCCAAAACGACGGCGGCCATTATGGCGCCTACTTCGAGTGCTGCGAGCGCAAATATAGCCGCTCCAATCCCAACGATATTCTCTCTCAGTTCACGGTAGATCTCATCTACACAGCCCTAAAACAGAGCAGAGGGTATCAGAAGACACCAGATTATAAGAATGCACACTTGAAGAGTGATACTTACCACTAAAGGGTATGTAAAACATAGCTGCCTTCCATCTTCGCAACAGAATCTGTTGGGTGCCTTCCAATCAGCCGGGCCATTGGCACCACAACAGTCCATCTGCATAAAAGTAATTTAAATGAAGGCTGTAGGTATTACCTCATCCTGCAGGTAAAGGATAGTTCTCAACAATTCTGTATTATTATTGCTCTCAATCTCTTGAATTGCACTGAGAAAGTATTTTCCGATGTACGGTCTGAACTAGAGGAGTGAAGGTGGTAATGGTGAAGGTGCAGGGAACCTACCTTATCCTTATTGACTATAAGGGCAGTAGTACAGGCGATCTCACCAATCACCATCAGGACGACGAAAAAGCTAAACTAGAGAATGGAATTATTGTTTTCACAATGAGTTTACTAGTAACAGGAAGCATTTATTCATTTTCATGGCACCGCAGCAGCCGAAGAAACCTGTGATCAGCACGAGAAGTCCCAAAACCAAAAAAGCACTGGCAATCGCATTAACTGACCCTGCCGTACTGTATTTCTTGGCTTCAATTACAAGGTAGATGCCGAAGCCGGTCATAATTGCACCGGCCACCTGAAGTACTAGTCACTCAAATTCGTTGACTTACGAAGATGACAACGTCGAAGATAACTAAAAGGATGCGGAGAATGTTAACTGAGAGTGAGTTGTTCATTGTGTTCGGATTTGACTAGGTGTACCCCGCTTGCGAGATACCAATCTTTAAATAGTGCTTGATGCGACTGCTTGGCGGCAAATAGCGAACCACCGTCAATTAATTCGCTGTTGGAGTTGTTCAAATTGCCAATGGGAATCGCGTACTTTTAGAATTACTGCGTTAAGTGGCACTAAAACGTATGTTTCACATCATCAACAAAAAAATGAGCTTGAGCTTTGAAATGATGCTATGGTATTTCCGAAGCACGCGCCCAATTTTACGCAGGCAAGCAATTTGTTGAGAAGAGGCATCATTTCTGCCAGTAAAATCTGTGAAAAGCAATTCCGATTTGCGCCCCTTAGAAACATTCCTCTGGTATCTGCTAATCCGTCAACTCACATCTTTGGTCAGCATCATGCTACCGACCAGTTGGTGGTGCCTCAGAGCCCCCATTGTGAGCGCTACAGATGACTAGTAAATTACCACTACAAATGCAATAGTTAGCTTCGACTCATACAACAGCTACTTTCTCTCTAGCATATCACTTCGGACCTTTTTCTGCATTTATATACTTCCGCAGTCCTAATAGAAGCATTTAAAACAAATATTCAAACAATAATCAAATTGGGGTTTTTTAACCCAGTAAGACAATCACTTGGCTACTTTAAGATGCTACACATGAAATATAGATAGGGAGTAGAGAAAACACTTGCTTGTTGGTAATGAGAATACCTATAATGACACAAGTGTCAAGTTGAAATAATCGGGATTGGTTGTGCAAACAGCGAGCCAATTTTTATTTCATAAATGAATTAATTCATGAAAAAGGAAATTTGTATTTGGGTGCCTTTGTGAGCAGACAAAGTTGTTAACTCGTTTTCCATCTAGAAATGATAATTGATGAAGCCACCCACGCGAACCGAGAAAAAGCTCATCGATGCAATGCCTTCAAAAACCACCCCAACGGCATTCTTATGCCTCGTCATTTATGTGTGCTTTGCATTCAACCCGTCGATGTTTTTTTATAAAGCCAAGGCGACAATCATGAAAGGGGTTTTATGGAGAATGGGTCTATGATTAGCTAAAAATGGGATATTACTGCAATTCCATTCCATGTCCTGCATGCATTTGACTTTATTTAAGAAACGTAGGATACGTACATCCCTCAATCGTGATTATTAAGCAACAGCCTTTGTTTAAATTGGACAGTCCTGTCTTTGCAGGGAAGTGTATTATTACCTTTTGTTCATTTGACAGATTCGCCAATGAACCATGAACGCTGTATTTTTTCAAGTCTGATTTCAATCGGTTTGGTCGATTCGCATTTACTCGGACCTCTCATCCACTATACCTTTCCTTTCACGATTGATTTAATAACCCACTGTCACATTGTCAGATTATTGGCCTTTAGCAACTCGAAATGTCGACGGTCGGGTAATTGCTACACTGATACGTTTTTAAGGCGTCCAGTGAATAGCGATTATGTGTTTGTGATTTATTTCTTGGCAAACATGGTTGTGGGCAAAAGTGATTCATGGCTAATTATGATGACTATGATGGAAAGCCTGATGGAAAACAAAGTCGAGAAATCAGTGAGTCAAATAACACTAAAAAAGGTTCATTACACAAACAAAGTGAGACACCGACGGGGTGTTTTAACTATTTTGCATGATTTCTTCCTTTATTAGGCGTTGCTTTGGTTTGATAATGTAAAGTGCTTTTCAAGAAGAGGAAAGCGTGCATCATCTCGTGCGTGGGTGTCGTCTTGAGCTTAATAATGCGTTGATGGCACACCTTGTTTTGACATGACAATTGAAACGACAACTTACCTGGCGACATAATTTTTAATAACAAAATTTTCTAACAGCAAGGACAACACTCCTATGATGTTTTTTTCCCATAAAGTTCCTAACTTTGAGATTCTAACGAAATGACTTGAAGGTGAGCAGGGTTGACGATGGAGATTAAAAACGTGTATATTGTATTCTTTCCTTCGATCAATGTGGCCCCAAAATGGGATTGCAAAATTGTCACAAATCCTGGGAACCCGAATTACTTGAAAAGTGTACAAACTCCTCAGCAATAATAAGGTAGGTAGAAACACTCAATATGTACTAATTTTCGTAGGAATTACACTTTCTCCTGTTTCTTTGCAAACAAAATGACTGTTAGGTAAGTGGCCATAAGATACACAGTTGAAAAGACACTTCAGCTTGTGTGTGATGAAAGGCAACGCGTCAAACTGCCTAGTTCGCCATAAACTATTTAGTTGGGATGCTCCCATTCAACTGTTGGGATTGTTTTCGATCCCAGAAATGCTTATACTACAGCGTTTCGATATCCACATCTACTGAAAGTGCAAAAACTATGTTGCTCACTTATCTTGTTGGCCAGTTGTCCCTAAGGAGGCACTTTGCGTGCACCAATAACCCTTTCTTTGAAAGATAAAAATACGCAGGATCGTGATCACTGGCTGAACTCTGAACTGAAGCTTCCAGTTGGGATTGCGACCAACCAGCAGTCGGCATTACCGCTCCTTGTTCATGTCCACACAGCTGTAGTTTATAGTAGAGACCCGTTATCTGGTGGCATTATTAAACGCCCTCGCGAGGTCGACATACATACATTTATTTAATCCAATTTAGGAATTAAACGAACTCAAGCAAAGCGATTTTAGACCAGTATGATGAAAAGGTTATAATCAAGTATAGTTACATGTCATGTCTCTCCTCATGAAACTTTCCTGTCTACTTCTTATCACATTGCTCAGATGTGGTCCAATTAGCTTGTGAAATAAGCTGTTAAATCAACAACAAATCGCGTAGACAAATTTGTCCCTATTATCTCTTGCTATTTTAGACAAGTTCTGCCTAAAGAGGGTATTTTCTAAGGTGCTCTACTTTCGAAGCAGCATGGCATCATTTAACGTGTGTCATATTTCATAGGCGTTAATGCCTTTTTCGTTTCAAACTCATAAGATTGCATTTTTATTTCACTCATGTGTAATCGTCACGACGGCATAAAAGTATGAGTTAACTAGTATAACACCCACCAAGTGACGAGTAGGTGAATTCGTCATTTTCGCGTCTATCTGAAAGAGACTTGATAACGCCCCATAGATCACAAATGAGAGTATGCAGTTTTGACGTCAGCACTTATGAGGTCTATTGGTAATCACAGTCAGCGATTTCGCTGTGTGATCAGAAGTAGAGTAGATGCCTGCAGACCTAGCATTTGCTTTGGTTCGAACATTATCTACTGTGTAGGCCATGCATGTAATACTTGCCTCGAATGCCCTCGCAGAGGCCTACCTTTTCACCATCTCGTAATGAAATAAACTACAAATTACTACTAATCACCAAAATGATTTAATTAAGTGTGGCTTTTTTAACTATGCTTGTTGAGTTTTTTGTCTTTTATCCATATGAATTACTCCAAAAGAAAGCTTGCCTTAATTTAGCATCGTCAACAAATGTAATTATGGTCTACCTGGATTCACAATTAAAGAGTTGGACAAGCTTGATCAACTTTTTCACAACCGCTTGTTCCATCATCGGAGATGCATTGATAATATGGCACAACAGACGAAACTATCGTTACCTGTCAATTTGAAATGGTGCATCAGTGACTTGTGCTTGGCGCCTATCACAGCTACGTTCCAATTACTCTTTCTCACGACTCAATACCGACAAAGCATTTGCTAGGGTTTAGCGAAAACTTCTTATTTGTATCTCAAATTCCGCGCGCATTACTTTCTGAAGCATTTATGCTTGCCTCCTAAGTATGCCCTGACGCAATACCTTAAACTAATGCTAGTGAACAGTGGCCCATAATCCTTTAATGCTTAGATAATTTTGTTTAACTTTTCGATTGGGTTTTACGATCATTTTAGGCTCTGCCTTTGTACTTCCACCGAGTGGCATGCCCTTGGGCCATGCCAATTGTCCACAATCCTCCCCCACGTCGGTAACATATATTCTGTCTTGGTGCCATGAATTCATTCTTCTTCAACGAGGTCTCGATATGCAACAGTATGTTGTGTGCCGTCTTTAAAAGCAAATATGGGAATACTCTATATGCATTGAATTTTATGCCCTTATCGCTAAGCATTAAGTTGGTGGAGTGCTACAGGGAGCTGCTTTTAGGCAAGTATCAGGCTAGCGGTTAGGAATGCACAAGGGCAACCTCAATGCACTTGTCTGCAGAACCCATATGCATACTCAAACGCCCCATCACAGTCATTACAATTAAGTAATGTGGTTTTACCTCGACCGCAAAATTTGATTTCACTTATGGGTTTGACTAAACACGTGGTGTTTGCCCTAATTCAGATGCTATCCTTAAGTAACCTATTCAGTGCAGTTGACCAGTCCTATTTCATGCCAATGATTTTATCTGTCCAGCTACCTCTAGCAGCAATTGCCTTATTAGGGTAAACCACTCTTTGGTATAGTTCCACGTGTTAGGAGATTCTATCGTTATTGGCAAGATTAGAACCTGAACACTGTATAAATCGCTGCATTTATTGACACAACCAGAGATGGAGAATTGAATGCAGATAAATAGTTCCCTTTTTTAACGGTGAGGATAATAAATGCAGAATTTGGGTGCATAATGCACAACAAAGTGGAGGTGCAGCAGGGTGCCGACTGGGATGTCACTTGCCACTGTTGCACGTTTTGCACTAGTTTGGTCAGAAACAGCGGCCACAACGGGACCCACCTCCATAACAGCGAGCACGGTAGTGGCTGCGCTAGCATCGAGGAGGTGGCCTTTCACAATATAGCAGACTGTATTGGCATCGCCTTAAACTGCACAATATGCGTAGCTCAAACTCAAATGTAAAGAGGAGCACAGGTAAGCTTGAGGTTAAAAGGATATTATACCCTCTCTGGATGATTAATGCAAATAGACTCATGGTCATCACAGCAATGCATAATGGGATATTTCCAATTAGATGATCCACCCATCAGCGTCAGTGTTACATTTACGATGGGAAATTAATCCAAAGCAAATAGTTCAAAAGTGGTGAAGCCTTTGAGATTGAAATTATGGTAGTATTATTGTGCATTTTTAAATCAGCTCGAAAATAAATCATGTCATAACTAAAAAAGTAGTACTTTCTTTTTAGTGCCTACCTGAGTGGATGTACATGATGTTGTGCCATGAGTAGCGGCGCAATTCACCAGATGATAGAGTAGCATCATATGGACAAATTTACGACCGAGTCACCGAACACCAGCATTTGGTTAAGGAAGTTAGTTTTGAGGACCACTGCACAACGCGTGCTAGTGAGCACATTCCATGCCCTCAAAGAATTTCGAACTTTCGCAAGTAAAAACCATCTTGTTCATAACGCTTATTTTGGTATAAAGATAATTCTTATCCATAGGTTCTTCAGTAACCGCGCTCGGCCACCAAAAGCGTTATCTTTATGCAGAGTTCTGACTTTATTAACAGTAAGTTGAAGAGTCTCCTAATTGAAAATTTTATTCGAATTTCGTAGTTAAACGCTTAGCTATAAACTCTACCATCACGATTTTTTGCATTGGGATGTTTACTAAATACAGCTATGCCTCTTCAAAATGAGGCCGCTCATCCAGAGGACTAACAGGTTTAGAAGAGACGTTTCTTAGCCTGAAAAGTAAATACGAGAAGTTGCAGCTTGTATTAAAAAAAGCGTTGCAAATTCACCATATAGTCTCAAATTCACTCTGCCGCTGCTAAAATAAGCAAAATACAAGAGTCGATTTCGCAAGCATATTCAAACTACTTTAATTCAATCCTCGAAATGTACCGAAATGCGCCATCACCAACACCGATGCAGTTATGCAATGGCAAGAAAACGGGCTGTCTTTTGTACTGAAAAGACACCTCATTTTTTACATAGGATATTCAGGAAAAATGAATTTACAGCACCACAAATGCCTATCACCGTAGTTTATCTCTTTCCCGAGGAGCGGCTTCAAGGTACTCGAGGGTGCGCACACCGAATACGGAGTGTCCCACCCTTTAACCACTGGAAGAGTGACTGAATGCTGACGCCGTGTATTACAAGCCTCTGCAAGTGAAGTGGAGCGACCAAAATTACAACTGGCGCATTATCTGTATCCTAACTAGTTGGGATTTCTTGCTGTTATAAAATCATTTCAAAGCTTGGGAAGCGCAGGTTCAATCCCTTATTTGCCCTAAGTTTTGATAACAAAAGCCATTAGTGCAAGTTAGAAGCAGAATAACAATCTTCCGAATTTCAACGCCATATACCCGCATTCGAACATACCACCTTAACCTGTAATCGTATTGATGACTACAGTGTGGTTCCAATTCCCTGCGTATTCCAGTTGGTACAAAACTAATACTACTACTAACAAGTTATTTTGACTCAGGAAGAACCTCTTAAACGAGTAGATTAGCATGAGCAGCTGCAAGTGAGAAATGAGAAATAAACAAACTTGGTTAATTTTGAACTCAAGCCCTATATGGTTATGAAGCCGTTATCAAAGCCAGTTCTTTTTTCTAAACAATAAGTTCAATGGCAAATCCACTGGACACATCTTCACACTACCTAAATGGGAAAACATCCACGATGTCATCCTCAATACAGACGTATTTTTTGGGAAAGTTTGTTAAACAATGGTAAAAAGAAATCAAGAAAGTTGGTAAACTAAAAGCAGAAAGCACATGTCTCTTCGCGCACAGCTAAATGAGATCAATTTTCGCCTTGGTTCATGTGCCGCTATTCTTTGAGTATTAATGACGGGACGAACCGTTTCTGACGCATTGCTCCCAACCATTCGGAATCAAACGGCTCAGGATTGATTTCCTCCCCTTTATTCAGGCGAAGTAAACACCAAATACCGATAAAACTGGGGCCTTTTTGCCGGATTTTTCCAATAATGGAGTTAACCTCAATTAATAATGCATACCTGACATCGCCATGTTTGGTAAAGGGGAACTTGATTGTCAACCCTCTCAACTTTTTGGAATTATATCGCATCGTCAACATCAGACGCCAACATAGTCTATTTCTGAACCGAGTATTACTCAGAACTCATTCTACCGTTGCTACAACTTCGTTCGTAATAAGCCCCGATGTCTTTTCACGAGAAACAACCTTGTCCAGTGCTCCGAAGTAGTAAATGCTCCAGCCTATTCGCACAATATGGGAAAGCTGTTTCCAAGCAAATTAGTAACAAACTTTGCGGTATGCCAAGAGACCTTACTTTGCCTCTCAGAGTTACGCCAGTTCGTTGTAATCAACGAAATCATGAATGCCGAACAGTGCTTCTCGGCGCCTACACAAGCCAAACACATTCGGATACTAAAACACCGAATGTCCCACTTTGCTTCACGCAACCAAATAATTCATTTTGATACAACTTGAGGCTTAAGGAAGACGCTGAAGCGTTCACCAAGGGGAAATTGTGACCGCGATCCTCTCTATGTGATACTTTGGCAACATAAGCACAGTCCTAGGGAGGTCAAGAACCAGTTTTGCAATCTGCCACCGGTAGGCACAGCTGAATCCGATCAGACCTAGATTTCACCCCTTTCAAAATGCATGAATTCAACGCAATCCACTATCAGAAACTGAAACTTAGCTATACAAGCCCAACTCGAACACGATACTGCATTCCTTAAGTCGGTTTGTGGATTGGCCCAGATAACTCTCGACGAGGTTTAGACGATTGAGATCACAACTCCGTCAATTCGTAGAAGGACAAGCACAAATTAGACGTTTCTATAAGTGAGGGATCGAAGTACATATGCTGATCGAAATAATGTCCGAATTGGGAAGGAAAGTCGGCAAAAGTACCATCAGAACACACTCAACCGCGCTCTGTGGGCCGCGACGTACACATCTCAGAGAACGCCCACGCCGACATGTCTTCTACCCCGCTTAAATCACGTGATACACAACAGTGGATGGGTCTGATATTCAAAAAACAGGGTTTTCATGCCGCATGATTACAGAGCTCGTCGACATCTGGATAGTCGACGAAGAAGGAAGCAGGAACGATACTAGGTGTCTAAACGGCGTCGTGAATTCAGAGTGAATTTTAGGTCGTTCACCTCCGAGCCCTGCACGTGCACACACGTTTTCTCAACGAAATAAGAGAGTGAGTCCGTCGAAACAAAGGCACGAAACACAACGAAGTACGATGAAGCCCCGTACGCATTACGCAGAATTTAGTCGTTCATCAAGACCTTGTTGATCCATGGACAAGGTAAGTGCAAAAAAACAATACATTTGTGAAATTGAAAAGCTGTACGATTTATCCCACACGTCAAGCCAGACTGGATATAAAAAAAACACACATAGCCAACTAAACCCCGTAAACAGATTTAGACCAGGGCAAATCAAGGTTGTTGACATCAGCCAATAATGAAAACGGAAAATTTCCGAGGATAGACAAGATTCATACTGATGAGACGCAAACAATCCCCGTAAGAAGATGGGTCACTTGCAGCATTAGTCAAAAACATTACATGATGACTTTAAATGCACGGCAGCAGAACTTTGCCGAAGTGTATGATTGTGAACGCTATTAGGTCCCGTAGTAATGAGGACCGGGCCAAATACACTACTATTAGGAAATAAGTAAAAAATTTGGCAAACATTTATTTGTACAAAAAACCCGCCAAGATGTCGGTCATTTCAATCCTCCACGTTTCTGGGTGCTAATATAAAAAACTAAAGTAATAGTCATATTCTAACTGAAACTATACCATTGTTTCCTCGAATAAAAGTGTCACCATATTTGTTCTTCAGTTGACCCTCGACGTACTCTTCTGTCTGCTCCAAAACAACGTTCATATAGCCATCAAGGGATATCAAAACGCCACGATAGTCCGCACCTGAATTCAGCTTAACGACAACGGGGCGGCCAATAATGAGCTTAAGAAAGTCCCTCGGTGTTTGTTTTTGTGACATTTGCGTGCTACAAAAATCAAAGACAATTAATGAAATTTCGACTAATCAGGCAAAATTATACTTGGGCGAATAAAAAACCAATTTAATGACTTTTTAGAAGCATTGATAACGACGCTAACAAATGGCGAATTTAAAATCCTGCGCCATGAAATCAACACTAGAGGACCACAAATCCACTAGTATGAAGAAGGCAATAGCATAAGGCGGAGCGTATAAAATTCGAAAACACAGGTGGAACAGACAAAACGGCCAGGCTTTGAATAACGTGACCAGAAACCTTAAGAGGGAACTACACTGGAAACAGGAGAAGTCCAACACATCCTCACTACTCACGATACAACAAAAACGAGAATAACAACCTTGTAAGAAATCTACACCAAAGTTACATAGTAAAGGAGCCGGAGTAAATGCACTACAGGCATTTGAAAGGCCTCCCAGAAGTTAGCCGCTAAAAACGCTGTTACACTTAAAAATGTTCGAAAATTCCAAATTAACCTAGATATCTCAACTGGCAACTCATCGGAACAAAGCCACAACAACCTGCAAGGGAACCTGACCGAACAGAGAGATCACACAAAGTGCTTTGCTTTTATTGGCCAATTTAAAAAAACCGAAAACCGGGAAAAAAATAAAACCCCATCAAAGCATTCTTAAAAATACTAAAAAACACGAAGCACTTGCTTAGTAAGCAAAAAACTCGGTGCACTTGAAAATAAAAAGATGCTAGCTGCAAGAATGCGCAAAATTGGAAGATGAACCATAATACAACTGCAGCCTGAGTAAAATGACAAATTCATGTGTCGGGGTCATCGATGCCCTCACCCATCTTCGCTAATACTGTATAACTTAAAAATTGTTTAGGGATGAGCATCTTTTGCTCGGAATTTTGTGAATATGCACAGATTGTTAAATTTTGACAGGAGTTAATGATAGTTGCCACTTCATGGATCATTATTGTCCGCGCAACCATGTAATTAAGGTACGGTTAACTTAAACTATTCGGAGTCCTTGTTTGGATGCTTTTACTCGTGAGTACATTGGAACAGACAAGCATAACGTAGAGGGCAGCAGTAAGGCCAAATTCATGTCCCCACCCAGATTTTAACGCTTAGCCCGACTTGCGAAACGTAGACCAAACTAGGGTACGGAAAAGCGCCAATAGCGCATTGTCCCAAGGCTCCCTGAAGACGAAAGAAGACACCATACCCGGGCAGATTATATATTCAGAGCAGAGGTATCAGGGCTACTGGCATGGCCCAAAGGCCAGCCCACCCAGCGAGGTACGGGGAGGCTAACTCGAAGTACAAAAGCGGCGTTCCACCAACGCCGGGGGACGAAACACTATCGTATTACATAGCCTCCCTCATCTCTTGATCGTCGTCCCTACCGCTTCCGCAGGTCAACCTTTCGCGTCAGCCATTACAGCGTAGTCGGTGCTGTAAAGAAACACCCACGATTCGACCGTGCTGGTCACCAAATTAGCGTGCAACTGAGGAGATACTTAACCTCAAGGTCACTGATCCCTCTTGGCAGCTTGACTGGATCTGGAGTTTTGTTCGGTTTAGGGATTTGATTTAGAACGGGGAACTGCATTGGCCATCATGCGTGTCCATAGATAGATGCAGGAACACTGGCCTAAAAGCAGATTTGTGTATGGAAGGACGGGATTTAATAAAAATCCATAGGGGAAGGTGGGAAAAGTCTGTAACGCAACTTTCCGATGGTTCACGGCTAGTGTTGCTTCAGTTGTTAGTAGCTTTCCTGCAGAACACGGGGCTGGGATAGATGTCGAAAGCCGACGTCACCTTCAACACTTCTATTAGGGGTCATCACCATTCTCCCATCCGTAGCATATGTACTTCTTCCGCTCCACTAAGGTCTATGACGCAGGATTGAAAAAGAGGACACATGCCCTTTAGGATCGGGTTCACTTTCCGCTGCCACCAATGTAGGGCGAGACTCACCGGTCTCCTCCCCTGTTCCTAGTGTCCTTAGAACAGCCCAGGTTGATTTGACTTTGACATATCTGTTAAAGGGGAAAAGATCGTGAGGAAAAGCACAATGTTTAATAATGGGAAGAACCGCAATCACAACTAAGCACGGAAGGCGACGACCCTCTCACTAGGTTCGAATTTCCAGGTTGTTTCCTCCCTGAATGGTACATTAAAGCAACACAAGTATTACAGTAGTGTAGCGTCCCGAGACTCCCTGAAGACGAAAGAAGACACAATACTTGGGCAGACTATATATATTTAGCACGGAGAAGGTGTCTGGGGTATTGGCATCGCTCAAAAGACCAACCCACCCAGCGGGGTAAAAGGGGGTTATCCAAAGTACGAAAGTGGCGCCTCACCAGAAACGAGGGATAAACCACTACCGTATTACAGTAGCATAAGGAAAGTGCTGTAAACTGAGAGCAATAAGACGGTAAAATATTAATTTCACACGAGGCTAGTTGAATCAATATAAAAAAATAATTGCGGAATAAAAATAGCAGAAAGAATACAAGTTTAATGAATTTACTAAGCACTGGGGATTTTATTTAAAATCAAAACTGCTGCTTTATTTACAGCGATATATAAGGGATTACGATGTCTTGGTTGTGCAAGGAAAGTCTGATTTCTGATTTCATTTTTTTGAGTTGTTGCTTCTAAATTGTTTAAACTCCTCCTTTTGAAGTATAACAAATTTTTCCCTCTCATAAATCCTAACCAAACAATGTTAAACTTTTCTTGCATTGGCTCTCTTTTCACAATTGCCTTGTGCTCATTACGTGCTATTTCGGCATGGATGTTGCTGATGGGTTCATACGCGAGTTCGGTTATAATTTCTACACACCCCATGAGATTAGATCGCTCTCTGTACTCGAAGTAACTTCTAATGCAACGTTTGACAAAGTTACCAATCGTGGAGTCGATGGTGGTCTTCATGACATGGCTCTTGGACCATGCACTGAAAAAGATGTATGTGCGCATTGCGGCCTAGGATTCTTGCAATGTCCTGGCCACATCGGTCACATAGAATTCTCCAAACCAGTGTATAATCCACTGCTTTTTGACCTTGTTGTCCGCGTAAGCAAAAATGCTGTAGCTAATTTTCCAGTTATTAAAATCTTTCTGTTTTTCGTGTTTCAAAATTTATGACGTCGATCTTCTCTCCGCTTGCCTTGAACTGCTGGGCTTGCCAGGTAGTTATTTATCAGTCACTACAACTAATTAGATCTTCTGCTTCCGAGCAAGCCAAAACCATCCGAAATTGAGGATCTTAAAAGTCTTACCCCGGCAGAATTGCGGAAGACCGCTATGCGTTCTATGGCTACTCGTCGACGCATACCGTGCAGAAATTGTACTGCTAAGGCATGGGTACTGCGACACATAAATCACCAGCAAATCGTGATGAGGCCCGTATCAGATATTCGAAATTCAAGGCATATCGGCGTTTCCAAATACAATGTGTAAGTGGGAGGTAAAATCTTACATTAAATGTTACATCTGTAGCATGCTGAAGCGCCTGAGTATAATGTTGATGGTAGTTAAGTTAGATATAGGCGAGATTGGTGTTGCAGCCTCTACACTGCCTGTGCTAGTCGTTCCTTTATTTTCATATATGCAGTGATGCTGATGATGCAAACTACGAGCATGGTGAGCTGGAAAGTTGGGCCCAAGTCGAAGCACAGCTACTGGGTGACAAATATACTTCACATCCAGTAATTTCGTTTGAAGACGAGGTTGTGGTGAATGCTGGCGTTGAATTAAACGACCTTGCTGAATCTGTTCGCGACAGATTAAAGGAACTATCATCTGGTCCACAAAAGGAGGCGTTTTCATCTCCAGGTATAAGTCTTCTCTCAGATGTTCTTATCATCTATAAAAATAGTAGAACATACCTCTGAGAAATAAGTGTACGTCTACATTCCACATTAACTATACAATCAATCTATTAACGATTCGCCAGA